CTCTACTATCTACGCACATCCTCCATGATCCATCCATTTTGGGAGTTACTAATACAAGGATCACATGGTGACAAGCTTTATCAAATTAGACCCTTCCTAAGTAAATCAACAATTTGTATGTGTAAGTCGTCATTTCACATGGGCCTCATTCGGTATTAAGCTAAATTTGGTAGGTTAGAACTGGGCACCAAGTCAATGTTATGCTAAATATTTCTCGTTGAGGGAGGACCATCAGGCAATTCTTCTATCATCAAGTCTTTATACTTCTCAAGTAGAGGCTTAAGGGACTTAGGAAATGAAGTACATGCTATATTTTTTTTGGCAAATAATACATAAATCACATCCTTAACCTTGCTATTCCCTTTTAACTTTTGCAACTTTGACCCACCTTTTTAGTAGATTTCGGTGCGGGAAGTTGTTTCATAGGGTATAGTGTGATGTTAATACTATCTTTGATAAAAGAACAAGTGTTTAGTCTAGTTTTATGCATCATATCATGATTATAAAGCTAGGGCCTCTCAAGTAAGATGTGGCATACATCCATGAGTACTACATCGCATTATACTTCATTGTTAAAATTAGCACCAATAGAGAATGAGATTAAACATCGAGTAAGATCTGGTACCTCACATCCTTTCTTGAACCTTGGAATGTTATATGGGTATGGGTGCTTGTGCTCTTTCAGTTTCAATTTATCTATCGTTTCCGTAGATACAATATTTTCACTACTCCCACCATTAATTAATATTGTACATAAGTCACCTCCTAACCTGTAAGTGGTTCAAAAAATGTTATGTTGCCCCCACTTCTCTTCATCAAATGGTATTGGAGTTGATAACATGGTTCGTTGAAAGACTAAGGTTTCACCCCTCTGTCTCCATACAAATCCTCATTGAGTTCATCATCATTCGGGGGCAGAACAAGATGCATACATCTTTCACCATCGTTACCTTAGCTCCAAAACGGGTCTTCAGATTATGTCCACGTTGAAGCTCAACACATTGCAGTGTGAGTTTATCTACACTCTCCACTAGGGGTTGAACTACTTGAGTCAATAAATTCAATCCTTTGAGGGGTGTCGCTTTTGAAGCTATCTTAATCTGCTATGATACTATTTCATGTAAATTAGGGTTGATTCTTCACAAATCAGCACCTTAATTTGCAGAAACTCCAATAGATGACAAGCCTTAAAAGGCAAAAGAGTGAAGAAGGAATGAAAAAATTACAATATCAAAATAGGAATCCACCTCCCAACTTTTATTAACTCAAAGTCCCTAGAAAAAACATAAGTGAACTCGTAAGCTCTTCAATAAGTATTTTAGTAACTCAGAAACCCTAGAAAGCATACCTTTTTTACCATTCTTATATTGAATTCCAACACCGGCCTTCAAATTCCTTCTATGCTGAAGCTCATCGATATGCAACGTGAGTTTATATGCTCTCTCCACTAGGGATTGAACTACTTGAGTCAACAAATTTAATCATTTTAGGGATGTCTCTTAACCGGCTCCAATTAGAAACTCTAATTATTTCTAAAATTTTAATATATTTGTTCTCTCTAAAATTTAAAATTTGATAGTTTCTCTCTCTGAAAACTTTGAGATATTTATCTCTAAAATTTTTAGGCAGTTTCTTTCTCTAAAATTTGATGTAGTTTCTATATTTAAAATTTTAATATACTTTCTCTCTCTAAAACTTTAGATTTGAAATAATTTTTCTCTCTAAAAAAATTTGAAATAGTTTCTATTTGCAAAAATTTTAAGAAGCTCTCTCTCTAAAACCTTAAATTTGAGATAGTTTCTCTCGCTAAAAACTCTCATAGACTCTCTCTAAAATTTAATATAGTTTCTCTCTAAAACTTAAATTTGACATAATTTCTCCATCTAAAATTTTGGTATTATCTCTCTAAAATTTTTTAGATACTTTCTATCTAAAATTTGATATAGTTTCTCTCTTTTAAAATTCTAACATGCTTTATCTCTTTAAAATTTGTGATAGTTTCTCTCTTTATAATTTTTTGAGATAGCTTTTCTCTTAAAAAATTTCTCTTTAAAAATTTTTAAGTAGACAAGTGGAAATGAACAAACCAGGTGATTTTCAAAGATTTAATAAAATTAAAAAAATACAGGTTTTGGTATGGAAATGAAATCATGGAAAAGTTAGCTGATTTTCTAAGATTTAATTTCTATAGAATTTTAATATCTTAGTCATTAAACAAATCAAACGGTTGATTTCAATAATATCCAAGATATTAAAAATCCATGCCCTAAAATTTATGTGCCCAAATGGATCCATTGCTCAATCGCGATGCCAATCCTCCCATCAACTCTTTCTCAATAGAACTTACCAAAAAAACAAAAAAACTCTTTCTCAATATGCTTTTCATATATATATATATATATATTTCGTTTCTTTGAACACCAATGGATTCTCATCTACTTGATCGAAATGTGCCACTAGCCGCTTGAATGCATATACGGCATTGGTGCTTATTTGGACAGTGCCATTTTTCCTTTTTTTGTGGTGGCAGGATTCAAACTCAACAAAGTCCTTTGCAATCTTCAGATACTTAAAACTAATCAACTCGAAACCCAAATCCCTAATTTTCATTTTGGTTGAGGGGGGGAAAGAAAAACATAGCATGCTACAACAACCTTGGGCTAGGCCTGTGCCTTTGCCGTTTTAAATCAAATGAATAAGGCCTAGGCTTTATGGAAACAAAATAAAGCCTCACCTCAAATCTTTGTCCTGAAAGTACTTTTGACGACAAAAATTTCTATGATGGCTTTAGAATCAAATTTTAAAACCGACAATAAAATTTGAAACTAAAAAATTGATATAGATTTTGCAGATTTGTAAACACTTACCTTTAAAGCAAAATGGACGGCCTAAATAAATTGTTAGAATATACATTATTTTTAGAGTTTGAAATCCTACTTTCTTTTTTTTTTCACAACGATAATTTCAAATCGAGATGATCAATGTAAAGATTTTTCAACGCTAAACTTGCAATTTTTTATTTGTTATAAAGTAAGGATTTAGTTATTTTGATCGGGCTGCCGCCCTATCAAACCATTTTCCTTTTTAATCACACACAAAATGAAAGCACCTAAGAGAGGTTAAACAATCAAATTAGGCACACCATTAAATTTGCAAAAAGATGTATTTTTGGATTTCAACCAATACAAGAATTTATAATTACACAAAGCGTGGATGATAGTCCCAAATCTGGTGCAAGATGGACTATTGTAGGGGATTTATTAAGACTGTTGAATTTGGAATATGGTAAAATAGCTCATAGACTGGGAATTACCCCCTTTATGGGTGTCACAATGGCTCTATTTGCAATATTTCTATTATTTTAAAAATTTATAATTCTTCTATTTTACTGGATGGAATCTCAGTGAGTTTGGTAAAAAAAAAAAGCTAAAAAAAATGACATGAAAATCTGTTTCCACCCCAAATTAAAATATTATTTGTAAGACTTGAAATCCTTCTTTTTCTTCTTTTTTATATTTAAATGTCTCGAAGTTGAGATAATCATCATCGTAACAAAAATTTCCATTAGGTTTTTGAAGTGCAACTTACCTCTACAGTGTAAATTTTTTTTTAGGTAAATTAGTGGGGCGGAAAGCCCCCTACCCGTTTTCATTGATAAGTAAAAAATAGAAAGTTTACAGCTCATTACCATAAAACCCTATAACAGGGCACTTGTGCCAAATCATGAGTTAAAACAAGACAAATAAAATCCGACGAACGAGAACGCCAAACAGTAGCTCCTTGATAATATATAACCCTCTTTGTAAGAATATCAGCCACCATATTGGTTTCACAAAAAATGTAGGAAATGAACCACCCACATTTAGAGAAGCGTTGTCGACAATTTACTACCACCGTATGTAACTCTAGAGTGTATAGTTAACACCTCATATAAACCATTTTTATCCTTAAATGATAGGAGAGGGCACTTCCACTCTTTCACTGCCAAAAATGTGCTTCTTGAGGGGGACAAAGTCTCGAACACCCTAATCCACCTACTTGGGGACCAAATCAACGTTACACCCACATTAGCCCTCATGCTTAGGGAGGGAGACTAAGTGATCTACCACGTCTCTTCCTAAAAATTAAAGAAATTTTATCCAAAGATGCACTATTTAATATTTTACACATTTGCAACTATTGTGACTCATAATCATACATCTTTTGATGAATATTTTGAAATTGATAAAACTACATAGGTAAAATGTTAAATAGTTAATCTTTTATGGGTAATTTCTCTAAATTTCCCTAAAAATTCATAAGATATCTCTGTCAGAAATATGAGTGTCTAAGTTTTGGGAAAGCTTTCTATATTCCCTCTACAACATAGAAATTCTATCCTCCCCTTTAGCCAACCGTACATTTTTGAATGGAAGGCTAAAATTGCCCCAATTAGAATGTCACATTTCTGCACTGTTTTATTTTTAATTTTTTTTTCTATAAACTATTTTGACATCAAATCTTGGACGTCCATTCCTCTATTAAATTCACACTAACGAAAAATATAAAAAAAAATATTTTCAATGAAATAAAATGATCAAAATACCTCTAAAAGCTTTAAAAGGTATTTTGATCATTATTTTTTATCGAAAAATTATTGTTAACATTTTTATAAGTGCGCTCCAGTGAGAAGATGACGTGTACCACATTTCATATTCAGAAAATTTGTATTAAAAAAAACTAAAAATAAAATAATTTGAGACATCATATCTAAGATCAAACGGTGATTGACTCTCTTGATCAAGAATGGACAGCTGGATGGTAACAAGAATCTATGTTGTAAGGGAACATAGAAAACTTTCCCCTTAATTTTATCTCTAGAAAAATTGATACTTTACACACCACTCAATAACGATATGTTCGCCTAATAACTTAAAGAATAGTACGAATGGGACTCGCAAATATTGGATTCACATAATGCCACAACCCTGAAATTCAATCGCAAATATTGGATTCACATAATGCCACAACCCTGAAATAAGCTATTGAACGTCTCCCAAAATCTAAAATTACAGGCAAGAAATAAAAAAAAGCTCACAAGGCTTTCTATATCCTTCATTCTCACTAAGATTAACACGAGAAAATCAAAAGCATCAGAAAAGGTCATCTCTTCTCTCTACTGATTATCAAATATTATTTATTACTACTAAGCATAAAGAATCTCTTGGTAGCTGCTCAGTACTTTTGAGCAGTAGGTACAAGCAACGAAAACCATGGAAGAAGACTTATATTACAAAGAATTAGAAGAAATCAGGCTCTAGGGTAGCGTGATCGCCCTTTCTTTTTTAGAAACTCAGGGATCTCAAAAGAACCAGTATCACTGAGAGTGGAGGAGGGGCGACGGTTAATGCCGAGGTTCACATCTCCATGGGTTTGAGGAAGTGTAGCCTGCAATCCGCCATACAAATTTATGTCAGAACAAACATTAGCAAAACTACGAGATTTGGGTCTTATAAAGCATGCTCTCTCTAGATCACTCATGCAAATCTCTCTCTAGATCACTCATGCAAATTTCTCTCTCTCTCTCTCTCTCTCTCTCTCTCTCTCTCTCATACAGAACAACCAATTCTCACGTTCATGTAAAAGATGAAGACGGATTCTGAAAAAAAAGGAAAAATTAAAAAAGAATGACGAACAAGCCAACAACCTGCATCGGCCGGCCTTCTGCTTCATCCTGGCGTTTGAAACCAGTAGCGATCAGAGTTATGCTGACCTGAAATCAAACAAATAGCTCATCAATGTTGAGCAGACTGCAACAGGGAGGTTTACAAATCATAAATATGAAATTTGAAACGAAACAGTAACGGGCAAACCACATTTAGCCAATTATTTACATATTCGAAGTTGTCACTGCAGATAGCGAAAAATGTTGTCCAATAGAATTAGCCAAAGAATCCCTTTTAATGTGGAAGACAACTGCAGTGGTAGAAAGTGATTATTCTTGGGTATTTCTTTATATATGGCCAGGAAACTGGTCTGAAAAAAGGAAGAGCCCTCACCATAGTGTGGTGTATTTATTTCAGCCCTCTTAATAGATATGATGGATACATTTTGCCTAGAGGATATGAGGATTTTAAATCTTACACGTAGTGGTATTATGCTTGCAATATTGTCTTCGCTTTAAAAATGGTTGTGCGCTGAAAAGAAAAACTCCTATTTACTTACTTGACCACTGAGTGACTGATCAATCACTGCTCCAAAAATAAGATTTGCACTTGGATCAACAAGGTCATAGATTACTTCTGCAGCTGCATTAACCTGCATTTGAATCATAGTTGAAAGTAGTTGAAACTTAGTATCAAATGGATAAGATAGGATGAACAACATAAACACTCTATCCAAGTTAATCAACAGCTTCCACTGGTACCCATTTGAACTAAAGATAATATGGGCTGTCGTTCCATAACTTAGAATGAAAAGGTAAACTACAATTTTAAGGATCACAGAATGGAAGGCCATGGAGTGGGACCCCCATTGTAGTGTCCTGCTCTGGTATACCCTGCTCTCTTTTCATCACCATCAGTCATTATGGGCAATGGCAAAAACCAGTCCAGTGGGTTACAGTATATTTTCCCAAACTTGGAACTGTATCAGTTCTATATGAACCACTGCAGTAAGGAAGCTCAAGAATGACTCAATAGTTGGACTAAACATCACGATCCATTTAATAGAATATGATACTTGGCATCCTCTAGGGATGCAGTGGAATACTCAAAGCAGCCAAGATTGAATGGAATACAATCCAATGAATAATGCACACTCGTTGCGCATAGAACCAAATAGGTGATAAGAGTACCTCGTACAAAGTCAGATCATTCCCACCAGTAATATTCCAAACAATTCCAGTTGCTCTTTCAATACCAATATCTAGTAGTGGTGACTGGATGGCATTCAATGCAGCATCTCTTGCCCTTGTCTTGCCTGCAGAAAGAAAACATCATGATAATCTATTAAATTACATGAAACATTAACAACACAAGCCATACAAATTTTTACCATTCCAACAAAAGATGTGTTCTAACAATATATATAGGAGCTTAAAGGTCCAAGGACATCCAAATCTCTGGAGAACCCTAATCATGGTCCTAGCTAATTGAACACCACCACTGCAAACAGTGAAGGAAGAGCATATACCTGAGCCATTGGTGTCTACCCAACACTAGTGCATCAAAGAGCTCTGACAAATGGGCTCAACAAAGTAAATACATTATCCAGCCTCATCACTGTCGTCTCAGAACAATTAGTCCTAAAACTGCCCCAACTGGAATATCTCACAATACCTAAACTTCCAATTGAAGAGAGAACACTAGACTTAAAAAAGTCCTTGACAACATACGAATTTTCTTTCAATCTAAAATAAAAAATGGGTGAGTATATTTCTTATGTCTGTAACCTTTAAGGAAAAAAGGATTGTATAAAGTAAGACCATTATCTTTTGTACATAAAAGTCACGAACAACCTAAGTTGGACAGCTGGGGTGTGTCATTTCTCCACATGAAAGTCTGAGGAGATTTTTTTTTTTTGGACTTCAAGCGCAATCAAGGATACATCCCAATAGCCTTATTTCACATTAGATAGCTAGGGTGATTGTGTTGAGGATTGATGTCTTGTATTATGAGGAAATAGATTTGGCAAGGTGGAGTCCAAAAGACAAAGGGCCGTTAAAAGCCCTACGGGCCTTCGGCCCTTTGGGCTTTTAACGGCCTCCGAAGTCGTCCTGACAGGTTGACTTGACGGACTCGGCCCTTGTGGGGGTTCGGGGGCGGCAGGCCCCAAGGAAAAATTCGAATATATCCATACATGGGATTCGATATATCTGGGACTTGATATATGGTACAAGGGTATTTCGGTAATTTGTATCATCTATCTGAGACTCGATATAAATTGTTGCGATTGGGGGTTCATCCAAAAGTTAGGGGTTAAGGGAAAAACGCAGATTTCTTTGTAATTAGATAAAAACAGAGAGGCGTGAGGAAGAGAGAGTATTGTAACCCTATTATCTATTGCCAATAAAGAAGCTCTAATCTCCCGTGGACATAGGCACGGTGCCGAACCACATATATCTTTGCGTTGTGGTTGGTTGTCACTTTCTTTTGTGTTTGTTTCTTCTTTTTTGTTTTCGTGGATTGCTTTTCGTTTCTACAGATTGTAACCTTTTTGTTCCAAAGGTAAACCATAGTCATATTGTATACTTACCATAGTCATATTGTATACTTACCCCTTAAAAAAAATATGGTCGCTATGAGCTATACATCATTGAAACATATATGCCTAGGCTGAAGTACTTTTTATTTTCTTCAGGTGTTCAAGGAATAAATTTCTTGGTCTGCGGAATGCAAATATGATTCTATCTTTGTGTTAGTGAACAAACCATCACTATGAAATGCAAGCTGAAACTAAAGTACTTGTCAGAGGCATCTATGGCTTCAACACACCCTAGAAAGGAAAGAACTTTCGCAGCACATCAAGGACCTAAAAGACCATATTTCAAGGCCATGGGTACTACTTGGGGACTGCAATTCTATTCTTGATAACTCAGAGAAGATGGGAGGCTTGGATATTAATCGAAATGATGCAGAGGAGTTGATCAATACATTATTGAAGTGTAAGCTACTGGACTCAGGAGGTTGTAGGACTTCTCCTAATGTCAAGGAATTAAGGAGAGGCTGGGCTGTGCAATAGCTAATTCTGGGTGGATGTTTCATTTCCCACAGACTATAGTTGAACTCCTTCCTAAATGCACATCGGACTACTACCCTGTTGTGGTATACCCATGCAAAACCTCCCAGCAAGCAGAAACATTTTAAGTTCTTCTTTTAGTTCAGAAGATTAAAGATTCTTGGAGGTTATATGGACACCCATGTACATAATGGTATGCAAATTGTAAAGATTGAGGGCAGACTGCAAAGGATGGAACACAGATGTCTTTGGCAATGTTAACTATAAGATTAGGGAGGTGTATGATAGCTTATCTATTATCCATGATTATTTAACCATAAACCCTAAGGAATCGGACCTTGAGGTACAAGAAAAGGAGCTACCTGACAAGCTCGAGTTATGTTGGGTAGGGAAGAAAGCGTTTGGAGCAGAAAAGCTATGGCTGAAAACCGGCGATTTTAATATCAAGTTCCTCTACCTTCTACACTCGTAAGAAGAAGTGATCGTTTATCTGTTCTCAAGGATGCCCAGGGGAATCTAAAGAAGATGTCGAGATTCACATGCTGGACTTCTATAAACATCCACGGGCCCCTTCAAACCAGGAGATATCTTTCCCTCCATATGATGCCTTCTTGCCAACTACACAGCTTTCTGATTCGTGGCGGCAATCACCAGCGAGGTAATGTTGGATGAATTCAAGGAAACCATTTGGGGCGTGAAAAGGAAAAATAATCCTGGCCTAGATGGTTTTAATGTTGAACTTTTCAAATTGAGTTTTGATTTCATTAAGAAGGATCTTTTTGTAGCCATCTCTAATTTTTTTCAGAAAAGGTAACTTTGTAAAGAAATCCATTCTAATGCTCTGCACAGAGTTCGGATTCAGGGATTTCAAAAACTTTAATGGATTATAACGAGCTGAGTATATAGCCCAAAGTGACTCACTGTCTGTCATACCGTTGACGCTATCTATTCATTGCTCCATTGGCTTGGCTCGCTCTCTCTCCAAATCTCATATGAAAGACATAAGCCCTATTGGTCTATGCAATACCATCATCATTATTATCATCAGAGCCTTTTTTCCAACTATTTGGGTCAGCTACACAAATCTTGGTCTGCCAGATCAAGGGTCATACCCTCAGTGAAGCCATAAGTCGCCATATCTTTTCTCACTACATCCAACCATGTCCTTTTTGGGCCTACCCCTTGCCTTTTTTGAGCCTTCCACTTGAACTAAGTTGCATTTCTTAATATGTGTTGTACTTGGTCTACGTTGCACATGGCCAACCCACCTAAGTCTACTTTCTCTCATCTTATTGCCTATTAGAGCCACACTTTTAAGTTCTCTCAAATGTATTCATTTCGAATTTTATCACGTCTTGTCATGCCACTCATTCATCTCAACATCCTCATCTTAGCTACACTCATCCGATGGGTATCTTGTTTCTTGATTGCCCAATATTCCACTCTATAAAGCAAAGCTAGTCTCACAGCTGTCCTATAGAATTATCCCTTCAACGTCATTGGTATGCGACGATCACATAGAACTCTTGGTCTACGCAATATATTATACTAAGTTTAGATCATTGCTAGTAGATTGAAAGCAATGATGATTAACCTTATCCACCCTTGCCAAGCTGCATTTTTGAAAGGCAGACTAATTTCAAACAATGTGTTGATGGCGAATGAGCTCTTCTCGATGTGTAGTAGAACGTCCTCCAAGACAAAGATCTGTCTTCAGTTAGACCTCTGTAGTGCTTAAGACCGGGTTAACTAGAATTTTCTCGTGGGTTCATTAACTGCTTTGGGTTTCCCTAGTAAACTTGTCCATTGGGTTTTTTTTTTGAGGAATAAACTTGTCCATTGGGTTTGTTTTTGAGGAATAAACTTATCCATTGGGTTCCTGCTGTATAACCACCTCAAGTTTCTCTATTCTCTTTTAATGCTACCTCCTTTGGGTATTTTACGGCTAAACGTGGTCTTTGTGAAGGGGACCCACTATCCCCTTACCTGTTTCTATTTGTTATGGACTATCTGAGTATGCAACTAGACTATTTCCTTCAAACTAATAGACTGCTAAGTCCTTTTCACAATGGCGGTAATATGGGAGTTAATGACCTAATGTACACTGATGATGTGCTATTTTTCTATGAAGCATCCATCTCCATGGAAAAAACTCTCAAAACCTTGCTTTCTGATTTTGCAAAGCCACTAGTTAAAGTGTCAATGTAACCAAATCCAAGTCATTCTTTTTCAAGACTGGGGGAATCTTCCAAGCTCTATATTCTATCCATTTGGAATTTTGGCGAGTGGTCTTTGCCATCAAAGTATTTTAGTTTACCTCTATCTCATAGGTGCTTAAGGGAGTCTCAATATCATTACCTTTCTAATAGTGGTTCAAGGCAAGCTCTGTGCTTATCTTTTGAAGGTCATTCACAGCTCCTCAAATCTGTCCCATGTGCCTCCTCAATTTATTGGCTTCTTTCTTTTCTTCTTCCTTCTAAAATTTCCCACTCAATTGCAAGATTACGATGTGACTTTCTATCGAGTGGGAATGTGGATACTTGCATTGCAGCCTTACTTGGTTTGCAGGGATAGCATATGTTTAAAGCTTGAAGAGGAGGCTCTTGGTGGTCCACATACCTATGATTTTAATTGGGAATGTATGATGAAAATTGCATGGCATATTAGTTCTAACCATGATGCCTTGAGTCCCATGTTTTCAAACACATGGATGGAAGTAGTGAGAGGAGATATGGCAACTTATGGTTTGATTGAGGGTATAACCCTTGATAGAGAAAAATGGTGGAACAAAATTCATGTGGAACAAAATTCATGTGGAAAAAAATGGTGGAACAAAATGTTGGAATAAGGCTCGGATGATGATAATGATAATACATTTGTCGAAAGAAATATGTGTGGCAGGTAGGCCCTAAGGGGATATGGAATGATTAGTGGAGGGGCATTTTCATGAGGTTGAACTTATTGAGAAATGAGGTTCTTTGGATTATTTGGATCATCGGAATTTTCCCAAAGCAGCCTTTGGAATACTTTTGGCCAGAATTTACATAAAGAACTGCGTGTCCGGCATGATCTGAAAGTCGATGCTTTTATCCAAAATTGTTCTCAATGGTACATTAGGTGGATTAATCCAAGCCTAAAATGTTGTGCACTCCAATGTTTTGTGGACCAAACCCAATTATGATCAGTTGGTATGGATTCATTCTCCCAATAGCGATTTCTTAATTAAAGGTGTTTAGGAGTTGATTGCACAAAGGGCAGTTAAGCCTGGTTTCAAGGAAGTTTAGAAGGCACAGGCGCACCCCAGGGCCAATGATACGCCTGGTTGGCTATCCATGGCAGACTTCTGACCATGAAACTTCTTCAACCGCATGGGATAAACTTGGCCACCCGCTGGCACCATATGCCAGGCACATGAGGAATCAACTAAGCATTGTGATGCTTTCATATGCCATACCAAGTTGATTTGGAAATCCATTACTCTTCAATGTAGAAAAGCTTTGCAAGTTGGGAGGACATAAAGAGGGGAACCAGAAAATACATGCTGGCCGCTGTTACTCTGGTGAAATTAGTCTTAAGGGCATTATCCTTCATATTAGCTGATTCACCTTTGTCAGAAGATGGAGGTTTCATCCCAGTGAGAGGGTCATCACAGAAAATCTGCGTTTTTAAGTGGTTGGAATCTCCTCATCAGCTATTTTAGACGTGCAGTGGTCGCCTCTGGATTTGGCATACCTTAAGTTAAATATTGATGGAGCTTCATTGGGAAATCCAGGTAGGGCTGGTTGGGGAGGCATCATTCGCGACCACAATGGGAGATTTGAAGCTTGATTTTCATATTCTTTTGGAGAAATACAAATAACGCAATTTCAGGCTTTGGAAAGTGGATTGCAGATGGCTAAACACATTAACTCTAGGAGCATCAAGATTGAAAGTGATTTCAAACTTCTGTTGGTGTCAATGCAAGGTTCAGTGACAGTCACATGAGATACCACAGTTTAGTTCAGAACTGCATTTGTTCAACTTTGTGATTACAAATGGACCATTAGACACATCTATATCAAGGCTGGTCAGGTTGCTGACTTATTGGCCAAAAAGGGTGCAAAGGATTCAGCTTCTAGAATTTGGCCAACAAAACCACATTTTATTTGCTTATTTTGCACTCTGATGTAGCAAGTATTCCCCAACAAAGGGTTGCTCCTTGTATTTATGTATTTTTTCTTTTTGTTAAGGTAAGCCGACCCCAAATAGTTGGGAAAAGGTTCTGATGATGATGATGATCTTTTTGTTAAGTTAATGAAAACAGGTAGGGGACCTCTTTACCCCGCTGATTTACCCAAAAAAGAGTCACATATAACTAGTACAACTATTTAGTAAAACATTTGAGGTAATTCTACAAAGTAGTGCAACACTTGCATAAAGTCTGAAAATCGTGGAGAGTTTATGAATAACACGAGTTGACCTTGTGACCAGCTTGATTTATTTTTTTTTTCTCCCTATTTTAATCTGGGTTAAACCAGATCATTCGCGCTCAAGAAGTCAGACCCCTCCCAAGTCGATCTGATTCACTCAGATTGAGCTGATCCAAACAGACTATTCAAACATTGATACTGTTTGTAACATGTGACTGTAGTTTACACTAGATAAGCAGAAAATAGGATAACCACCCTAAGAAAAGTATTTTTATGTGGCTGATTTATAGCTCTATATCATTCCCTGTGACCTTGGATACTTCTACATGTTGAGAACTGTCATAATCTACTTTTTTGACCAGTAAAAGCTCTTGTCATGATTTGCAGAAAGCAAGAAGGCGATGTGGATTACCCATCAACATTTTGTGGCAACCAAATCCAAAGAATGGAAGTGGAGTAGCCCATCATCGAAAGGTACATCACGTAAAATAGAAAGCATGGCGACATATTGTGGACGCATGCTACTCATTAGAAGTGAACATAGAATCCATAAAAGAAGGGGCAAGAAGAGCATAAGCATAGCCAAACCCAAAATCCGTAAAAACTAAGACTAGTTGACTTGCATTTACCTGTTGCAGTACCAATTCCCATTAATGAGGAACCGGCATTAGCCATAATGGCTCTCACATCAGCAAAATCAACATTGACTAAACCTGGAACCTGCAACAGAAAGAACCACCATCCAGATTGACGATAAAAAACTCAACCCATTTTTCCAGGATATTACATTTGAAATTCAAAAAACTTTAATCAAAACTGGACAATTTACTTCTTCAAATAGTATTCTTTAAATATAGCAAAGGAAAAAGAAAACATTTTGCATTAATTTCAGGACTTGAGTGATGCACTTCCTCTTTCCTCCTAATCAAACATCAAGTTACACGCTGACTGAAAACACAGTTGGCTGTTTAGATTATCATCTTTAATAGAACCTATCACAATACCAAAAATTAAAATCCAGCCTCCAATATAATTGCAGGCTGTAACTGATAATAGCCAGTTTAAGCATTTGGATAGAGCCAACTAAGGATATTACTGTTACGAATGTAATTTCCTGAGACAGACATAAGAAACTTGCATATTTCAAATAAGTGAAAAATTGAAATTGACATAATATGAGCATAAGTAGCAACCCAATATTATAATGTCAAATGGAAATAAATAACTCAGGTCCTTTTTGTTTTACACTTCACCGTAAATAACTTGCAGTCAAGTTAAACAAAAAACACATACAAATCTTGAATCAGCTAATTTTAAAAGAATAGTCAACATTAATCAGAAGCATTAAGCAATAAAACTGCCATATTACCCTGCTTCATATGAAAAAGTACCCATAATCCAATGAAATATGGAAACCATAATCCTTTGGAGTCTCACCATCCAATGAAATGAGAATCGATACGGACAAGGAGTAGGACCCCAGCATATACATGGACCACAATGGTGGGTTCCACACTCCCTCGATCGCCATCCATTTTATTGGATGGTCATGACAACTGATGATAGGTTCTCCATGGTCCATGATACTGTATTATAATTATCTCTACTAAACACTAAAAATATCAAGACTACAGCTTGTAAGGGACTACTTACTGTGATTATATCAGATATTCCACGAACACCTTGTCGGAGTATATCGTCTGCCAGGTTAAATGCTTCTGTTACAGGGGTAGATTGGGAAACAGCAGTCAACAACTTATCATTTGGGATGACAATAAGTGTATCAACATTATCTCTCAAAGCTGCTATCCCTTCTTGAGCTTGAACTGCTCTTCTACGACCCTCAAAAGAGAAGGGGGTTGTAACAATTCCTACAGTGAGGATGCCCATCGACTTTGCAACTCCTGCAATCACAGGGGCACCACCAGTCCCAGTGCCACCACCCATCCCAGCCTGTCACATTCATGTTAGATGTCAGAGGTGACAATAAACAATTCCTTTCGTAGATGCTACGTGCATGTGGCATAGAGAGAGAGAGAGAGAGTGAGAGAGAGAGAGAGAGAGAGATAGAGAGAGAGAGAGAGAGAGAGAGAGAGAGAGAGAGAGAGAAGATAGACATACGTACGTAACGTAAGTAAGTAATAACTACACTACTACGTTACGTTAGTTAACTTACGTAGTAGTTAACGTAAACGTAACTACT